ATATATATATATATATATATATATATATATATATATAACCTATTATAGAAGAACGTATGGGTAATATCGACCATGGCTATTTAGAGTTTTAACTCACCGACGTGTCGTGAAGGGCTGCAACGAGGCAAGTGGCGGTGCATGCGCGTACATGGCAATAAGAAGTACGCCGGTTATCAAAACGAGGAAGAGGAGAATCCTCCTCATCCATCCGCTTGGCAGGCTACCCCCCATTCTCGCTAATCTGCAAACAAAATCAATGGGACCCGTTGTTAATGTTTTCCCTTCCATGGGTTTTATAACGTTTTATTATTATTAATCGGTATGACCTTTGATAATAATCAATCGTTACTTATTACATTCTTTTTTTATTTTCTTTAATCATCAAATAACACTCAAGTATTATCAATTTGATTTTGTCCTAAAACTGCTGCGGCTGTTGTTGCGTTTTCACTGTCAATTTGTTTGAAAAATGTTAAACGAATATAATTAATCGACTGATTGTAAAAGGAAAAAAGAAAAATGTTTTACTAATTGTAATTGTCCACCACGTGTTTTTCAAATGCGACTATTACCTACCTTATTTTTTCCTATTAAATCAAATAAAATAATATATTTGAAATTCGTTATAAATAAAACATGAAGGATCTTGCAATGTTTACGTCTAATTTCTAAAAATATGAAAAAAGTAATGTTATACCTATAAACGTATGACTTGATGAACGATGAACGTCGTAGAAATATCATTTTAACTACTAGAAATACACTATGTACGATCTTATACCACGGCATTTCTCGGTATGACGATTAGAAGCTCCACTTGCGCTTCTTAAAACTGGAACGAGATCATCGATCGATAGACGTCGACTGACAGTGAATAACTCCGTTTAAGCGAGTCGATAAAAATACGTGGGGGGATAGAAACACAATGGTTCTTACTTTTTTCAAAAACTAATAATAATAATATACGTTATTAAAATTATAATCATTTCTAGATATTTTCTTTTTTGAAGTTATATACTTCTTTCATTTCTTTCATAATTACTTTTAAAACATTATTTTTTTAAGTTTATGCGATTTTGCTTCCGCCATGTTTTTTTTTCTATCTATAAGTTACTTATAAAAATATATATTTATAAAATTGTTACTATATGTATAATAAAAATAAAGAAAAGAAAAGAAAAGAAAAAAATCTTTGATATCGATCGTAGAAAAAGATCGAAGAATAAGAAATGAAGTAAGGAAGGAAAGGAAGAAGGAAAGGAAGAAGGAAAGGAAGAAGGAAAGGAAGAAGGAAAGGAAGAAGGAAAGGAAGAAAGAAAGAAAGGAAAAAAGAAAAAGTGTAGTGAATATATAAGTTGGATTCGATACGATGACGGTGGTAAGAATGGGGTGCAGCTAAATCGCGTGCGTCGCGACGCCGCAACCGTCCTGGCGTAACCAAGCAACCCAGGGGGTAGTAGTCCGACGAACAGTCGACTCCGTTTAGGTATTAGTCTCCAACGAAACTGTATTGGGAACGGATCGAGAGGGGGTTGAAAACATTACGGGGGGACCCTTCTCCTCTTTTTCCTCCTACTCTTCTTCCTCCAAAAAAAAAAGAAGAAAAAGAAGTCCTACTTGATCGCAAGAAAGAACAAAATATGTCATCTTTATTAATCATCGATATAATAATCTATCGTAAGCTTTAACACACACACATTTTAACAATTTAAATCTCAATTAAACAAAAATTTTTATAATTAACTTTAATCGATAAATCCAATTTCCATTTGAATATAGTATTAAATACATTTTTATTACTGGTTGCGAAGGGAACCGCGAAGAGTGGGGGGAGTGGGTGGATTGATAAATTCTATTTCGTTGTACTTATTCATTCGTCTTACATTTTTTATCGAATATTTCAAGGATAAAACATAAATAAAATGTCGATGGGGGGTAAATGTTAAAATCAAAAGATGATCATTTTTCGGTGAATTAGGGATTGGTGGTCTCGGTTAAATGCTGAGAATAATCGACAACGCAAACGAGGACGAGGACGAGGACGAGGACGAGGACGAGGACGAGGACGAGGAAGACGAAGAAAAAGGACGAGGAAGACGAAGAAAAAGGACGAACGCAAACGTTGCTGGTGATTATTCTCGATCGAAGTGATTTTATCAGGATGCAAACAGGCTTGGCGGGTAAGTGAACGCGCCTACCTAAACCCCCCTCCTCCTCCTCCTCCTCCTCCTACCTACTTTCGTGCGATCCAATTTCCATTTTCTACTGCGATGAATTTAGGCCTTGCTTGCTTGCTTTTTACATCTACATATGCATACATGCATACACATACACACACCTATACGTGTATATATATAAGTAAAGATATATAGGTACGCACGAAAATCGATTTCGTTAGGGAACACTTTGTTTCTTCCTTTAACCTGACCACACAGATACACACACATATATATATATATATATATATAATTTAAAATGTCTATAAAATAATATAAAATATATATATATATATAAAATGTAATTATTATACATATATTAATAATTAATTACTATATATATTTTGAATATAAAGCGAATATATATATATATATATATATATATGTTTGTTACCAACTCACCTATTCGAATATTCCTAATTGTATCGTATCGTTTCTATTGTTTCGATAGTAACACATCTCTGAACTGTGTTATCGAAAAACACCTGTGGAGCCTATCTTCTTCTCGCAATGAGAGAAATCTCGATTGGTGTAATCCATATAAATAAAATTCATGAATTAATCTATAAATGTGTTCGCGTTTTGAATATATCTCAGGATGAATTAAATTCGTTATTTAAGGTAAAATTATTTTGTTTCTTTTTTTTTTTTTTTAAATAATTAATCTTCCAAAGTTGTTTGTGTAACGATAAATGTACTAACTTACTGTATTCGGTGTATCAACGAACTCCTTCATCCAAAATCCTTTCTTCGTACTGCATCTACAACATATACGTGATAGGAATAAACGACGTGGATTACATCGAGTACTTTCATGGATATAACTATAAATCAAAAAGTGGTATTATAAATTTGAACAAGCGTTACAACGAATGTTATTTATCGATATTATTATTCATTTAGGCGACAAACGACGAATATTTCTCTTTTTTTTTTCTTTTAAAAAAAGATACGCGAATGTGCATTTCATGCATCATTTTTCTTTTTCACCTGGAAAACAACAACGACTATGTTAAATTACGAAAGTAACGAATAATATATGTAATCAACTAATTTATCATCTTTCAACATTTGAAATATTATTCTTCTCGTTCGATAATTTAGTAATATTATTTTTCAGATAAACCGAATAATAGAATTCAAATAAATTTGTATTAATGGATAATAAAATGATGACGAAAAAAAGAACGAATCGCGATACGATCACTACGACGATTCGTGGATTATCTTATTGTCAAGTGTTAATAAATTTATCCACGAAATCGATAACAAGAAATACGATTTACTATAATAATAATAATAATAATAATAATAACAATCGAGAATTGAAGAAACCAATGATAATTTGTATTTAGATAAATTCAAATGAAAATATTACCTGTCGTGAAATAAAAAAAGTAAAACGAATTGGTTGGGAAGAAGAAAAAAAAAGAGGAAGCAAAATAAAATAAAAAAGAAAACAAGTAATATCGAAGAAGATAAGTCTGATCTGTGCCTTTCGTGTATAGCCAAAACTGTGATGATGATAATGATGATGATTGATGATGATGATTGATGATGGTATAATCGAAAATTAATAATCCAACAAAGAAAAATCAAATGCGTATCAAATTTGAAATAAGACGTCTCAAGACTGAATATATAAATGTTAAAGGGAAAAACTATGAGAAGATTAGCAGTGTTGGCAGCGGTGCAGCAAGTCGCCCAAAATCATTCGAACCATATAATTAACGATGTTAACGATGATGGTAAAACAATATGCATCGAATCTGATCATTCGAATATATTGGGATACAATATTACATCGGATATTGGTAATACAGGAAAGAATGGTCATTTTGAAACTGATTTGCATGGTCAAGTTAACATTTTACTTGGAGGGTAAGTATAATGACTTTTGTTTACAATTGTATATTAGATTGGTGCGTATGAAATGTCGGATTTTAAAATGAATATAGAAAAGTTTGTATCTTTTTTTCTAAATCTGTTTATTTAATCAAAATAAATTCTATTTGCTTAAATACACTTTTCCCAAGGAGATTATAATACACAGATGCCTGTCTTCAAGAAATTCTGATCTTTAGAATCAATAAACTCCGTTAATGGACTTTTGTTCAGACTGTCTTCATTTTTCGACTGTTTAGTACGTAAAAAGTATTCTCCCCTCCAACGCCTGATCTATATTGCGTGCAAATTTTACAGCATTATTATCAAGTTTATACTCATATATAAAAATGACAACATTGAACACTTTTGAGAAAATCTGTTTAGTTGAAATGTGACTCTAAAATAAGGTAAACAGGGGGAAAAACGTTCACATGTCCGATATTTCATATGCATCAACCTAATATAAATATTATCCATTTAAATGAATGATTAATAACCGATCATTTTTCAGAGCTATGCTTAGCGGAGTGATCATGGTACTGATAGTGATATGTTATTGCTGTCATAAAAATATGAAAAAGCATCGACCACAAGAATATTCACATTATTGGAGACCCGAGCCTGATGTTCATAGTCTCGAAGTATTCACTATGGATTCTCATATCACGGTGAAATCTAACTAACGATTTTATTATTAAACCATATGTAGGAATAGAAAACTCTGCTCGTTAAATATCGAAGATAAGATTAAAAAGAACAACACGTGAGATACGATCGAAAATGAAGCAACCAGGCTAATAATAAAGAAGTATACCGTCCGTAATAAACACTTTAGTTGAGAATAATAAGTACTCGAAAGGTTAAATAAAATCGAAGAAACTATCTTTTAATATTTCAATAGATATAAATTATTCGGCAGAAATGAATAATATTCGGATATAATAATACATAACTAATAACTATTCGTCGGAAAATCTTCCACCTAGTATAAAATTAACGAGCAGAGCATTTCTAAAAATACCAACGACAAAAAAAAAAGGAAAGAAGCAAACTCTCTAACATAAGCTCATTTAAAATTAACTAATTCTGTGTACGTGACAGTGCCCGGAAAGAGTAGCAATGACAAACCCGGAAGATGGAACCCAAGCTGCACTTCCTTGTCCGTTGACACCACCAGGCCCACCTCCAGCTTACGAGAGTCTCATTTTCGATCCTCAAAGTCTCCCATTCTCCAGTGAGAAAAAGGATACAACAACAACAACAATAGATGTTCCAACCAACGATTTGACGATTAACGAAGAAGATGCTTCTAACATTAACTTGGAAACTGGTCAAACGAAAAAAGATGAAAATCCAAAAGACGACAGAGATTTACCAACATACGAAGCTGCTTTAAAATTAGAAGCAGATGGATACGTTTAATAATTAATATAATAATAGTTAATAATATATATATATATATATACGGTTTAACTTGTAATTGTAAATTTAAACGGTGAAAGTGCCTCCTGCCACCTGCCCTCACCCCCCTACTGCACGTCCCCCCGATCATCTTTTCTTTGATCGTAAAATATCGAAAGGATTTTTCTCAATTCGTTCGACTACAACTAAAGTTGAAAGAAGATCACAAATAATAACGTCGAAAGCAGTCAATCTTATACGTCAAAATCATCAATTTACAATTAAACTGCAATTAAATGCAGGAAAATAAATCAAAACTGATGAAACGGGACAAAATATTAGATTAATTGCACAATCGTATAATATATCTGTGTGTATCTATTAAAATAATCAATGTATACAAAAAAAAGTGTCAACGAATCGATGAGAGAGAAAAGATGATTAATAATTCATTAAATTATATAAATTAAAAAAGCTATCAAACTAAAAAACAAAGAAGATCTCAATAAGTAAAATTTAAATCAGTAGGAAATAAAAATAAGAAAAAAAAAAACAAGCAAGAATAATTATGTGTAAGCATTAAATAGATAATTTATGATGGAAAGATTATCTTATATATATAAATCATTGAATTTTACGAAACATAAATCATAGAAAAGTAAAGCATATCTAGACATATGAATGATGCATGCTCGGTATGCGAACGATAAAATAAGAATAATAGTACGCATTATTTAGCATGTTACAATAGATTTAAAAAAAAAAAAAAAAAAAACAGAAAAAAATCATGTGTATCGTATGTTTTACTTAAGATTAAAGACCTGCATCAATCAAAATTCTACACGATGTAGTAAACGACAAAAAAAATATACTCAATTATTTGTTATCGAAGTACTATTACTCTTAAAAGAAAAAAATAATAAAAAAATAGAGTGAAAGAGAAAAAGAGAGAGAACATCAGGAGGAAAACAAATTTTTAACGTGGATAACGTGTTTCCTTCGTTGTATATATTTGCATATGTGAATAAGAAACATATATATATGCACTACTGCTACTCTCTCTAACAGATGCACTTTTTATTTGATTTTCTTCGTTTATCTTTTTCGAAATGATGGGCCACAACTAATCAGACATTCAATTAAATATAGAAACTTTTAGGACACCCTGTCCTAACAGTTTATAACATTATCTCGAAATATCGTTTCTCTCACGATGTCTCGTGAGAAAATACATACATAGATATGAATGAATTAATAAAATAAAATAATCGTATCAATTTCACAGACGTATCGAATGCACAAAACGTATAATAATACAAGCCGTTTTATTTTGATAACAGCAACCTAAGTCTATTTTTTTTTTATTCTTTTATTTTTTACCATGAAATATATTTTTTTATCACAATTAAATTACAATCATAAACGTTACATTACGATTAAGAACAACACAAAAGATATATAAAAAAGTAGACTTATACTAGTTTTCCAGTTAGTTTAAATAACTCATATTATAATATTACCTCCGACAAAATACTTTTTCCTAATTCTTTTTTTAATAATAATAATAATAATTTTGTCATTTCTATTACGTCTAACGATATACGGGCACGCGAACGATATATAAACACTTATTGTTAGTAGAGTAGTAGTATTACTTAAATAGTATATATCATAGGAACGTGAGAATATTCAAACGATTTGTGAACGATCTAACAAAGTATGAGACGAGAGAGATAGAAACAGAGAGAGAGAGAGAGAGAGAGAGAGAGAGAGAGAGAGAGAGAGAGAGACAGGGACAGAGATAGAGATACTATACTGACAGATCAGACAGACAGACCTGAGAGGCTGCAGAGCCGCAACAGTATTGCGTTACATCCGCCTGTAATCGTTTGTTTTACGACCTCTCTTTCTCGTGGGGATTTATAATTCAGATACATCGAGTCAACCAGAAACGCTTGAAAGACTTCTATTCGATTCTATTCTATTTCTAACATGAACTCTTCTCTCTCTCTTATTATATTTCTCTGTGGTTCTCTTTCTCAGCAAACACCTAGTATTATTATAGTTAGTAGTAGTACCCACGTAATAGGATATTTTTGACCGAGACTGGCTTCTTGTGGAATCAACAGGGGATTAGCACTTGTATGCTGTCGCCATTGGATTACAATTTCAAGAATTCATTTATTCCGAGAATCCTCTCTTTACCTACCTTAATATTTAATATTAATTTAAAGTCAATTAAAAAATCGATTTTTCTTCTTTTTTATTTTTTGGAAAGAAAAGAAAAAAGAATGGGAAAGAAATAACATAACGAAAATAAGAGAGAGAGAGAGTGAGAGAAAAAAAGGGAAAAAATTGTTTCTGGATGAATGTGGAAAATAAAAGAAAAGGAAAAGAAAAAAACACATTGCTCGAACAATTTTCGCTTAATTGTCATCAATTTGCGTGGAAAATGACTACATGCAACGAATTATTCGTGATTATCTTTCCAGAACGATTATTATCTAGAAAGAGAGAGAGAAAGAACTTGGTAAACAACCAGCTAGCCACAGGTTACAACTATCCGATATATTTTTTCTATTTTATTTTGCATTTTTATTCGAATTTTCTTGATTAAAACTTGGAGAAATAATTTTGTTGTTGAATGAACCTATATATTAAACATGAAAATTTCTCAAATGTACTCGTACGTACGTTTTCATTTGAATCCATTTATTTGAACTACACGAGGTACTATTTATAAATGTTCCGATATTCCAAGTTTCATTCGATTTTACTGATAACTATTCAATGATTCTAATTAATATGATATCTTGTATGTGTCAGCATAAATGGAAGTAACGAAAGACTTGGTGTTAAATCAATTATTGTATCACACATAGTATCCTATTATAAAGTATATACATTTACATATATTATACACTTGTGCACGTGTATATTGTATAAATAATATATAAATATATAATCAATATTTTCTTGTAATACAATATAACAAGATTTCTTATAAACAAAAATATATTTTAGAATTATATTAAACTTTTAAAATTTCATATTAAAATTGATATTAAATTGCAATAAAGCATTCTATTATAAGAAAAATCAAATTTGACATAAGTAATAAGAAAAATTGGCCTCGCAAAATATGCCTAATCGTTTCAGAAGTATTATAGGATGCAAAGAAGGATCAACCAAATGCTACTTACTAAAATAATCATTTTTCTTCTTCTTATATCTTGTGTTTTATAATATTCTTATGAAACCAATTTTTGATCATTTAAAGTAAAATCATATTTCTCCAATAATAACAAAATTCATATCAATTTGAAAGTTAA